CTCCCTCCTCCCTTCTTAAAAATAAAAAATTTAAATTTGTTATCTCTATCGTTTCGCTTGTTTAAAAATGTTACTCGCAACTTCAGTCGTTGATCTTCCCCCCCCCCCTCCACTTCTAAACAACTGTTGAAAAATTGAGAAATAGACGAGCGAAAATTACTTACGCGAGAAGAAGGTAAAAGACGTGAATTAATTGATAAAGTGGCTGAAAAGTTTTACTGAAAATTCAATGAGCATTATACCCTTCGAATTAAAAATACGTGGATATTTAAATACTCAAATGATAATCAAACGCGAATCGATATTGCATGGCTCCGTGCATAATGGAAATAAAAGAAGCCTCATCTATTCGTAACACATCCTTTTACTCCGCCATTTCAGAAGTCGTAAATAAATTGCTGGGAAGTTGTACTCGAACTAAATATAATCAGCATAATATTCTAAGGTAATCCATTTAAAACGTTCGGGAACGTTATGCTACAGTTCGAAACTTATTTTTAAAACTGTATAGATTAAGAAAATTCAACACGAAGCGAAATTATTATAATAACGGGAAATTACTCTTCCGAATCAAAATCTATTTTTGAAGCGTACACGCGCCACGAAAGAAGTATTGCAACTCGTTTTCACGTTCTTTCGTCGTTTGCTTTTAATCGAATAACGTTTTATTTCGACTAGGCGAATGCGTTAGAAAATTTGAAATTTGAAATTTGAAATATACGAAATCAGAGTGAAAGTCGTTGCATTTCAGTCACTTTTCTATAGTAGTATTAGCCCCCAACGTGTTATTAGATAGAAAACACGTGACAAATGTTCATAGAGAAGGTGATTAATTCTATGATTTGATATTAAATAACGTAACAACAGTTTTGTCTGTCATTAATAATTAAAACGCAGGTAAACGACTCTATCACTTAGTGCAAATATTGTAACAACGTACTACGCTTTCATAGCATATTTTTCTGCGTTATAATCATCCCACATATTTTCACATCCTCAAACTTCCAACGAACGTATAAAAATTCACGGTCCAGCGACGATTGCCCGGTGAGTGTAATATTCTACTTCGTGTAATTCCGAATGTGTAATCACCGCGCTCCTGTGAAAACGATAACGTTAAAAGGAAAGAATTTTTTCTTTTTTTCATTTTTTTTTTTCCCCCTCTTTCCACGTTCTCTCTGCGATGACGAGTTGATCTCCGAATAAGACAGACAGACACAGAGAAAGAGAGAGAGAGAGACGCAATTTTAGGATGCCCTCGGTGGTAAAAATAAAGCAAGATAAAAAGAAGTTCGACCGACCACCGATTCTGGATGAAACGAAGCATCGTTCGCGAGTGAAACGACACACGCAGCGCAGCGGGGAGGAGAACATCACTTTCGTATCCATTAGCGCGACAAGCGGGACACAGAACATTGTAATTACACCGCACACTTGTGCACGCTGCCGGAGATTAAAAGGCGGCACGCCTACCGGCCGAATGAAAAAATTATATTAAACACTCGTGTTTCCAGCGACGGGAGACGATTTCGCGTCGTCCTTCGCTCTAATCATCGCGCGAGAAAGGAACAGCGGAGGGAGGGGTTCGGGGGAGGGGGGATTTTTAATTTCCCTATTTTACGCGTCAACGAGCGTGCGC